GGAAAATAAACTACATAGAAGGAAATCTCATCAGCATAAGTTACTATCCTCATACTGCTGCTTAAGACATTGCAGTGGGATCTGTGCTCTTGCCAGCCTTTAGGAGCACAAGCCCCATTGACTTAAATGCAAGAACTGACAGAAAACCAAATCTTAATGAAAACTCCTGAGCTCCAACTCGAGAGCATTTAATTCACATGGATTTGCCCCTGGCTAAACTTGATTTTACAACCAAGCTCCTGAATTTTGGATTTGTGTGATTCTCCCTAAGACTGCCTCCTTCCACCTGCACAATCAGACGAGGGCATCTGGTTAAACCTCTCCAAATTTTGGTGTCTGAATGACAGTAAACACACAACCAAAAAAATGTAAATAATATAATGCCACCCCCAAATACATACAGCTTTTAAAAACCCAGGACATAGACGTTTATCTTGTATGAAAGTAGTACCATTTTGCCAATCAGCACTCAAATCTTTCATGGTTATGATCCATTCAAGGCAATTCTATCACAATACAATTAATTGCTCAGCAAGAGCTACTCATTTTTTTTTTTGTATTTTCATGAACACACACTGTTTAGGCTCATGGTTGCAATATCATCCATAAGAGTAGTATTTTCACTGAACATCTGCTTCAGCATTTTACATCATTAGAAGCTAGACTGCTAGGGTAATTTTCCTCCTTTTTTTCCCAAATACGCAGCATTGTATTTGCCTTTCTCAAAAAGCAACTTGGAAAGCGCCCTAACTGCCAACTTTTATCATGTCATTTTGTGGATATTTCCCAGTTTAATCTATGCAACTAATTTATATTACTATCTTGAGACTATTCCCTTTTATTATTGAGAACTTCCTTTAAAAAAAAGTTTTCCAACACCATAGATGACTTATTTCACAACCAGAGATTTACTTGCAGTTCTGAAATGCAATCTTATCCTGTATGAAATGCCTCTGTAGTATTTCTTTATGTCCACAGAACATACACCACTATCTAAGACTGTAATCATTTATAATCCCATGGAACCAGAATCATTTATCTTGTTTGCATTTTTTTCTCCCCATAAGCCTTAATTGATTTTAAGCAAACTACTCTTCTATTTTTAATTCATTTGATGTGAAGTCCATACCAAGACCTAAAACAATACAATTTCTGAGAACGAGTCAGTCATTTAAAATTGAGTGCTACTCTCATTCCTTTCTTACAAAAGGCTGATTTTTTAGAGGACATTTAATTACAGGCCTGAGTTCCTATTTTCCAAGCCTAAACACAACCCCTGAAGGCTTACAATATTTGAGTCACAGCTGGAGCTGTGGTTACTATACAGTTTAAATATCAGCCTCTTTACTGTGCAATTTGTTTTGAAAATCAAATCAGACGCCGTGTCATAAACAAGTGCTAATTAAGTACTGAGCGGAAATTGGGCTTTTTTGTGCAAGAAGGGTTCTTAAATATCTGCATCTCCACTTCCACAAGAAAGAATAAATATGTCAGAGCAGGATAATTATAAAGTGAAACCTACTACAGTACTTGCGAGGCAGTACTGCTGCTTCTCTATTTTATCTGCTTTCATGCAAGAAGCGAGAAACTGGGAGGAAAAATTAGATCTCTATGAAATATATATGTACTAAGTATTTCATGAATCTGATCATATAAACCATAATGCTTTCTCTTCCCTTGGAGAGGACGTTCACCCTGGGTTTCCATCACATACCATTCAAACCGGCAAGCAAAAGCCATTTCTCTCCGTCACTACAAAGCAACTGTGAAGCTACTTATATTTTCATTTCTTTGAAGTTATAAGCTACATATAAGTATTTATTTGAACATAGCACTGCATTCATTAGATATAACACCTTATCTGATAAATATCACGAATAGGAAAATGCATTTTAATACACTGAAGATTACCTCTGAGTTACAATACTCACAATGCCATTAACTAACAGGCTCACAGTTACAAAGGCAGAATTAGATCTGTCAGTTCCTGACATGAGGAGACAGAGCCAGCTGCACTGAAGAGCATCCAGTTGAGATGGCTCCCATAGCAAAGGCAAACACCCCCCGTGGCCTACAACTTGTTAATGAGTTTGTATGCGTTACAGCAATAAACGGAAATCCTACCACAGAACACACAACTTCAAGACCCAAACAGATACCATGTTCTACTGTCCAAAGCACTCACAGTAAGGCAAGGGAAGATCCATGGACTCCAATCCAACAAAATCACACATAGGATTTCAAAATCTTTATTATTAGGAGAAAAAAAAAGTGTTAGCTTTCTGATACTGAAAGCATTAACTGCCAATATTTAAATGCATTATTTATCAGATTTTGGAGAAGTAAACAACAAATTGGTTAACTGCAAGATCTCACAATTTGATACAAACTTTAAGGGGGCTTAGCACGCCCACGCAGTAAGCTTTGAACCTGCTTGAAAGGTTAATGAATACACCATGTCAAAATAACAAATTTTGATATTTATGGCAATATAGCTACTCTAGTTCTTTAGCTAGTTAATTTGGAGTATGTTCAACAGAATCTGTTTGAAAACAATTCTCACCAGAAAAATGAGCATTTATATTTCTTGATAGATTTTAAAAAATATATTCTTTAATACCCTGCAAAAGCAGCTATCAGGAAAACTACTTTAGTAACAAGAAACACCTGGATACTTTCTTAGGTAC